TTCTCCTTGAGCAAGTTTCAACTGGTTTGAGCCAGTGAGACCACAAGACGGCTGGCAAGACTCAAACTGTGGCTGCACAAGTGACTGGAGGATGACCTGGGAGACCAAGAACTCCCCTGCCGATCATGTTAAGGACACTGCCTTTTGAATGTAGGATGTATTATAGACCATGAAAATCTTCTTGTGCAAAATGCCTAGGACTGCCCCCAACCTTCCCGCACCCACTCTTTTGCCCTTAAAAAGCCTTTTTCAACAGCCCATCAGGGAGAAGGATTTAATCTTTGTCTCCTGTCTCCCTGCTGTTTTCTTCTAAGAGTATTATAGTTTTAGCTCTTACATTTAGGTCTTTGATCCACTGGGAATTAAGCTTTGTATGTGGTGTTAGGTAAAGGTCCAAGTTGATTCTTTTGCATGTAGATATCCACTTTTTCCAACACAACTTGTCAAGAAGACTTTTCCTCATTGAATAATCTTGGCACCCTTATCAAACATCATTTGATCACACGGGTAAGGGTTAATTTCTGGGCTCTCAATTCTGTTTCCATTGGTCAATATGGTTGTCTTTATGCCATTTCAATGTTGTTTTGGTACTGTAGATTTGTAGTAAGTTTTCAATCAGGAAGAATCAGTCCTCCAACTTAGTATCTCCATTCAAGATTATTTTTGGTATCTGGGCTTACTTGAGATACCATAAGAATTTTAGGATGGGTTTTTTTCTATTTCAGCACAAAACGTCCTTGGGATTGTGATAAGGACTGCACTGGATTTGTTGATCTCTTTGGATAATGCTGACTTCGTCACAATAAGGAGTCTTCCAATCCATGGTAATGGGATGTCTTTCATTTCTAGTAGTGCTGAGTGGCTGTTCAGGTTGAGGGGGCGGCACTCCTTGAGGTAGTCATGCAGATAGCCACAATTCACCCTCACTGTGCCTTCACCGTTTCGTTAGAACCCATAGACAGTCAACAGAGGGCAAAATGCATGTAAAATGCACGTGGGAGGTTTTCAAGGATTGGGTGTGCATGGAGCACACATTTCTTCCACTCCTCTCCATTAGCAAAAACTACGGACTGAACCAGCAGACCCTAACACATGGAGACTGCAGACTCAACCAGCAGACTCCAACAAATAGGGACTGTTGACTAAGCAAGGGCCAGGGACTCAGGATCCGGGTAGAATCATCTGCCAGCTCAAGCTGACCCACTAAGCCTTTGCCTGGCACTGCAGACTAGCCAAGGGCTAAGACTGATGCTCTGATAGAGCATCCTGTCAATCTAGACGGACCCATTGACCCTGGACTGGAAAGCCAGTTAGATCGGGAGCTCAACGCAAAGACAGTGGATCTCAGATCCAAGAGGAACTTACCCACGGCCCTCAAAAACACCAAAAAGAATGGAGAACTCACAGGTTTTGCGGGTACCAATGCCTGTGTTTCTCATCCCCTAAGCCATCAGATGTCTCCTTTGGATCCCACTGCTGCCACCAAACTGGTACAAAACAAAATAAAAGTGAGTAAATTTTAAACATCTTGTTGGCTTTATTCAACAGTTCATGAATCAGGCAGCATCCAGTCTAGCAGAGAGAAAGGAGCTCCAAGAAGCTGTACAAAATGAAAGACTTTTATAGGCAGAAGGGAGCAAGAAGAAGGAAGTTACACTAGACAAAAAAGATGGTTAGTTACTGCAAGGTTACCTTCCTTTAGGGGATGGCAGGGCTCTATCAGGAAGATGACCTACCTGCTGCTCATCAGGCAATTCCCCATTGACTGGTTTAAGATTCCATTCCTGGGAGGGCCAAAAGTCTAATTAAGTCTCAGCTTGTTGACATGGGGCTTAGCCTAAGCAGCTCCATTTGGGCCTGGTGTCTTGTTTTAAACACATGACTTCTGCTGGTCCCTGCTTTCCCCAGTTACTCCCCGGCTGTCCCTTCCCTGACCATTGTTGGTCACACACCCACTGCACCTGCCTCCAGTCCTTCCCCTTCAACACCGTAATCTCACACACAGCTCCTCCCGACAGTATCATGACGTCTCCCACCACACGTCCCCTATACCTTCCACACTGTCAGCAAGATGCTTCAGAAACACCACCACCATTTATGTCTAATGGGCTGAGAGGGCTGCGCGTGCACTGGGAATCAGGAGTTGCAGGGTCTGTCACTTGGCCTCCAACCACCTATTGTACCCCAGCTGAAGGGCTCACCCTGCGGAGAGACTCAGTTGTAGCCAACTCCATCGAACAACACCATCTTTGCCTCAGGCTTCCTTCAAAATGCTCTCCCCACTTTCTGCCCCAACTATTCCTTGAGGGGTCATTTTGGGGTAGCCTTCGAGGCCACCTTGGTGATTTTGTGCCCAGGCCCAAACATCTCTTGGCCCACAAACACTTTAACCATACCCCCTGAAATCATATAGCACAGGTAACCAGTGAATGGGTGCAAATTACTGATTTTACCTCCAAGACCCTTAATGAATATCTTACACCAGGAGCATCCACTTTTGGGTTTTACTGTGGGCTGATATCACAAGGCTCTCACCCAGTGAGCTTCTCTCTTCCCCAGCCCTCTGAGCAGCTTTCTCCAGACTATATTCTGCAATGCATCATTATCTCTCTTTCAGCCTGCTTCCCTCAGGTAGCAGGTCCTCTGAGTTTCCTGCCCTGACTGGCTACCACCAACCCATAGAGACACTGTCAGTCCTATAGCACTGAGTGTTCAGTTCTACTAGGATTGACTAAGTGGACTGGGCACAGGGGCGTTGGCCCTAACTACTCAAAATCAGCAAACTGAGGCAACCAAGAAGTATCGACAACCTTAACACACCATGGACAACAACTCCGTAGGAACCTATCCTAGCCCTTGTAAAACAGTCTCATGAGTCTCTTGCCTAAATGGTTTTAGAAAATGGCCTGGCCCTAGACTGTCTATACCGGCCAAGGAAGGAGGGCTTTGTGCCTTTCCTAGAACCACTTGCTTAATGTACATCAACACACAAGTTCAAACCTACCTCCACCAGATGGCCCAAGAGGTTAAAATATTGCATAATATTACCCAAATCTTTGAACAGATACCCAAGGCCCCCGAGATCACTGACCTATTTTCATGGCTGGTCTCTCCAAGTTGGGAACAATGGCAATGGACTGGATTTTAGACTGTTGCTTGTATAGTCATAGGATTTGTTACTGTAGCCCTCATCAGATGTTTATTCTCTTGGCTACAACCTGCCCTATCCCTAATAACTCCATTAATTACCCTTATTAAATATCCCAACCAACTTAAAATTAACCAATACTTTGATTAATTTAAAAAATTCAAAATTTTAATGGGAGAAAATCTGCTTAATGTAGACTACTCCGTTGTAAGCATTTTAAAGTATACAGTTCAGTGGCTTTTAGTACAATGATTAAGTTGTGTGGCTATCACCACTATCTAATTCCAGAACATTTTCAACACCCCCAAACAAACCCATACTCATTCACGCTCTATTTTCTCCTAACCCAAGCCCATGGAAACAACTCATCTGTTTTCTCCCCCTATGGATTTGCCTATTCTGGACAGTTCATTCAAATGGCATTATGCTATCTGTGGCCTTTGTGGATGGCTTCAATGAGCACACATGTTTCAAGGTTCATCCATGGCCTAGCATGTAGCAGTACCTTATTCCTTTTCATGGCTCTATAATATCCTATATTATGAACAGGCCACATTTTGTTTATGAAGTCATAACTGGATAGAAATTTGGGTTTGTTCCACTTTTCGATCATTGTGAACAATGCCGCTTTGAATGTCCATGGGCAAGTTTGCTCTTTTGGACATATACCATGGGCCCGTCCAGGTCAATGGTTATTCTAGCTTAAAGATTTTTAAAATGCCAAGCTGTTTTCTCCAGTGGCTGCATCGTTTTACTTTCCTACCAGTAATGTATGTAGGTTTCCCTTTCTCCATATCTTTACAAATGCTTGTCATTTTCCATTATGTTGAATATAGCCTTCATTTTGAGCATGAAATAGTATCACACTGTGCTTTGAATTTGCATTTTCCTAATTATTAATGATACTGAGCATCTATCTTGCACTTATTGGCCATCTATGTATTTTTTGGACACATGTCTATCCCAGTTGGTTTTCATTGACTTGTCTTTTATAACTGAATTCTAAGAGACCTTTATAATATTCTCAATATTAGAGTCTTCTCAGTTATCTAAGTTGCAAATAGTAGGAGACTTCAATACCTCACTTTTAACAATGGATGGAATATCCAGACAGAAAATCAGGAAATAGCAGACATGAAAACATTAAATACTAAATGGACCTATCAGACATACACAGAATATTTTACTGGACAGCAACAAAATG